CTCAAAAAATTATTACGGTACCTTCCCATTTACAATACACACACGATTTTCATTAATAACAATTTATATTTTTGAGTTCTTAAAATGTTAATAATTTTTGTAAAATCAAAGAGTAGCTTTTGAATTTAATGTTCATTCATTATCTTACTCATATTATATTGCAGTGTACTTATTGTAAGGCCATTAAACTTTTTAAAAGTACAACTTCTTTTCCTATTCTTATAGATTGATTCCAGTATTTTAAAAATAAAAAACGAAAAATTGCTGAGTTGTTATATAAGTTGAATGATACTTATAAGTTGTAAACAGATATTTTTAAAACATTAAAGAATAATTATGCATGACGTGGTAAAACGTGGACTACCCACACTTGGTTTTATACAAACAAACTTTTTAAAATGAATAAAATACATACACAATTTATTTTCTAAAATTAAATATTTTTTCAAATATCCATAAATAAATAGGTATTTAAATTTTGTAACTATAAATAACATTTACCTTTCAAAATTGATTGAGAGTTAAAATTATAAAAATTTATAAAATATCCGATTTAGTTTCAAAATGGAAAATGAATATTTAAAATAGTTACATCATTCTAAATTTTAAAGTTGATTATTAATGGTTTAGTTGACCATAAAGAATGCAAATAAAGTCACGTTAAAACTAATTTCCTAATCAGTAAACTTAAATAGAAAATTTGATTTAAATTTACAATTTAACGTTTTCTCAATTTCACTTGTCAATGCTTGAGTTTGAGAATTTATATTTAACTATAAAATTAGATAATAATACACTTGTATTATTATTATTAGATCATTCAATAACTTACAAAAAAAATGTAAATTTAAATAAAAATTACAGTTCGTACATTAAAGGTAACAATTTAGATTTAAAACCTATTATTAAACAAAGTTAGTTTACAAAGATGGCATTTGTATACCACCATTGAAATAATGAGTTAGATGCTCTTTATTAATTTTGGCACGAAAAATAATAATTTTTTTTATCTAAAATTACCGATTTGAGTGGACTACTGTCTGATACGTTGAATGTTAAAATGTCACACTAAAATGAGTTAACGGACATGAATGTTTGAAAAAAAAGTCACGTATCGGAACGTTGGTTGAGTCTGCTACTGTAATAACGTCAAATAACGCGGATTTGTATTTTGTAATTTCTCATATAGTTCCGATGAAAACCTTGCTTGTAACAGGCAAAATATATATATATATTAAATACTCTAGGGTTTTCAAAATAAAATTTTTTACCCTGTTAGTCATTATTTATATAAATCTTTAGAGGATGTAATACACATGACTTTTTATAGTTGATGATTTTAACACTTTCTAGAAAAATCAACTGATGTTCAATAGTTGTAAGCGTTTAAACTACCTGAATCTCTTGAGATTGATTTTATTACTTTGATGGAATTTTGATTAGTTTTGAAATTGTGGTAAGAGAGTTCGAAATGGAGAAAACGATATTGTGTCATTTCACGGTTAGTACGTATACATTAAGTTTATGTGTGAAAAGAGGTAACGTAAAAAATCATTAATATTATTTTATCGATTGTCTATTTGTTGTATTGTGGACATATTGCTTTTTTTTTCCTTTCTGTTTTATGTACCATACCAACAATGAATACAATTTGACTGGGTTGCTATAGAATGTAATACGAAATGGATCATTAAAATATTGAATTGTTAGTTTGATACGGAAAATTTATCAACCATTGAAATTTATAAAACATGTCAATGTGCTTTAATTTAAAACAATTGTAGTAATTTCAAAAAAAAATCACTTCAATAACTTTTTTGCTGAACCATTTACAGAACTACATTAAAGATATGTTTCAAAAATATTACAATAAAAGTATTGAATAAAAAGATTGATGATGTAGAATATTAATAATTGTGAACATTTTAATATGTTTTTTGTTTTTCAATTGATGTGATTGTCATTTAAAATAATTAATAAATTAATAGGACTCTCGGAGAAAATGAACTGCGGAAAAAATCAATTAGATAATAGTTTTTGAAAGATTGAATTTTTCCATGAAATGATTATTTTTTAATTTTAAATGCTCACTTCTAGAAGCTATTAGTAAAGTGAATTACTGATAAATTGATGGATTTATTATTTATAGATTTCTTTTGAGTTACTCCAAAATAACTTAATGATACTGGTTTATATAAACCGATTAATATTACAAAGTTTTTTAAATTATAATTAAAAATAAATAATAAGTCGTATTTGTATTATTAAGTCTGTTAACAATAGACTTTAGTAATAGAATTTATTTTTAAATTTATTTGTCGAAAAAATTAGTGACGCTTTTGAAAAATAAGTAAATTTAAACATATTTTATTGAAAGGCACTCTTCATGTTAAAAGGGCTCCTTTTATAATTTTATTATTTTTGTTTGAAAGATATTAGCAAAAAAAAATCATTAAATATATAAATATATGAAAATTGATAATTTAATAACAATTTAAGTTGTTTCATTTATTTTAACTTAAAACCATAAAACCATGTATATAGTGTAATCAAGTATAAAAGAAATAATATTTCAAAAGTTAAAATTTTAATAATTTCATAAGTTGAATATAGTTTTACAATTTTGTAATCACTACATGTATTTTAGTGTAACAATATTTGTATAATATATCATAATACTCGAGATTTTAAGTAATGCATAAATAAAAACAGCTTTTCTACAAATAATTAGCACGCTGCTGTTAAAATTCACTTATTATCAAGTAGTGTAACAACGAATTTTAGTGTGTAAAAAAGAGTCACACCTACCCCATTGAAATTATTTTCTGGTTGTACTGTCCACAGTTATTAAAAACTAAATTTAGAGTTGGTTTACAAAAGAGAATAGCAAAATAAAATTTTTAAATAAAAATTTCCAGTATTAAATTTTCGGAAATTTCGCAACACTATTGAAACATAATTCATTTATTTACATCATTAAGACAGTTGATTGTAAACGTTATCTTATAAGTTGTTTCATTAAAAGCTAACAGAATGTTAATGTGCAAAAAATACTCTCAATGTAAATGTTTCGTTAAATTACTATGTAACATCTGGAATTTCATATTTGTCAAACAAACAAAAGCAAGATTCCAGGAATAAAAAAAAGTTGTAAACATAAGCTGTTCTTCAACATAGGATAAAAGATAAAGCGCGTAGATAAATGTGGCAAGATAATAAATAGAAAAAAATATAATGGTAGGTTTAAGTAGAATTAATTTAAGTCCTGTACATTGTAGTACATAAATGTTTGTTCACTAATAATGGTATTATAAACCATTTACTAAAATGTAATCTTAGCTATCAATCTTTATTATTACATGCTGAAATAGACTAAAATAAAATACCTGTATTTAATAAGGTTCTATATTCGTTCAAATGAATTTTGATAGAAGTTAGAAACTTATTGATATAAATTTAGTTACTCTTATTTCGCTAGTGATTAAAACTTGTACTATTTATATTGATATGACACATTGTTACATATTTGAATTTAACCAAAAACAAATACAATATTTTTCTAGTAAAGTTTTTCGTTTTTAAGTTTTCCATATTCAAGATTTGAAGAAATGCATTGTTACTATTTCATAAAATTGGTTTATTATTTTTATCATTTTCTTTTCACACTACTTCAGTCAAACAGGATATATTCGATGATTATTGGAAACTTACTCGATAATATTAGTATGAGAAAAACAACCTTTAAGCGTTTTGGCATGCACAACAAAAAGTTATCTATTGAAATGCTTTTATTCGACGCAATACATAAAGCTATATTATTTAGTTATTAAAAAAAAAGATGACATAGAATGCCGTGATACTATTACTAACTAGCCATAATGCTCTACGACTATTGTACTCCAAACTTATTTTATTTAGGGTTCTAAACAGTGCAAAAATATTAAAATTAAAAATAGAAAAAAGTAATTATTTTTATTCGTTTTTCAAATAGCTCCATGCATAATAAAATATTTTACATGTTTAAAACAAACTTTTAAAAATGATTAACTTCCAAAATATATTTTTGAATAATCTGTTGTGCATAAACAGATGAGTCTGTTATTGAATTCTTTGAACACTATTTGTGTACACATATTATTACAAGCCTTATCGTGTATTTTATTTTATAAATTTAGGTTTAGTCAAAATTATATTTAAGAGTAAAAACATTGGTTGCCCAACCAGAAATACCGCCTTTGGCTATAACGGAACTATATTTAAAATATGGAAATTCTCAAGTAACCTCGTTGTGTTTAGTGAACAAAAATTAGTTTTGAAATCATAAAATTACGAGAAAAAAATTTCTTTTATAATAAAAATTGTAACCATAAAGAAATATTTAATACTGTTTAAATTCTTTCATGCGATGTATCATTTTATCCTTTAAGTGCATGCTATTGTATAGTTGTGCAAAGATACATGTTTGAAATAAAATCCATTTAAGACATAATATCAAAATAATGATACGTGAAGTACTCTTTAACCATACGTGATATGATACTAGTCCATTAACCCTGAGTGCAGCTAACGTATTAAACTCTTATGAGAAATGTACAATGTAAAACTTGCGTTTAACTTGAGTTTGCATTGTCTACAGTCTATAATTGTTGAGTGTAGAATTTTGTATTTTTATTTAGGTCGAAGATGATTTGGATGAGAATATTAATAACCTTTATTATTGTGTTTTTACATTATCATATTACGTTACGGGTAACCTAGTTTGATTTTATTTAAATTATAGGCAGTAACATACACATTTTTGCGAACTAATAAATATCTAATGTAATAAACCAAAAATAAAATAATAAGAATGGTAGAAAATATTGAATTTGATTGGAAAATATTTAGAATGTTAAATTATTAAACTTGTATAATTCTATTTAATTTTTATTAATTTTATTAATGGTTTATTACACAATAGATTGTTGGAGGTTCGAAAGCATAGTTAAAATTGTACTTACCTTACGTCCTATGTAACGCAATAATATTCCAAACAATCCAACGTTGTGTCTGGTATTAAATGCACTGAGTATACGATTAACACTACACGTCATATAGTCAATATAATTACTTACAAATTTAATAAATACATAAATACAATTCAAATTTTAAATAATACGACATAATTACACAAAATCTATGACTGATTTTATTTGTAAAAAAAAAACTCTAAACGCTATAAATTTCATTAGAAATATAATTTATAATTTGTTCTTATTTAATTTTTTATGGTGGTTGAATACGTATTTTCTTTTGAGAGAATATATTTTATTGAGATATCGACACCAATATTTCTTAAATCTTCCTTTGGTCTGGCCAAAACAAGATTCAGAAATATTTATATCTATGTAAAAAATTTATCAAGGCGGATTTGTGGTGGCTCAATGTGTCCCGGCGCTAGCGCCTTGAAAGGATGCGGCACAATAATCATCAAGACAAAAATTAAACACTAAAAATATATTCGTAAGTTTCTTTGCTCTGTCCGCCGGCACGATGATCGTTAGAACAAAGACATTAAGCTCATTACTAGCTACCCAATAAGAAAAGCTCACAATCAATTATTACTATTAAATAAAAAAATTCACCAAAACAAAATTCACTTTTGTCACAAATCCAAATTAATTAAAAATAGTCCCAGAGAGTGAAATCTTAAGTAGAGTGTCGTAGATTTTGTGTATATTAAAATTACCGAAAGAACTGGTTTAGACGAGGAAAAATGGCTTTTTATAGTCCAAAGAGGGTAGCCCAGCAATCCCTACCGTGACTTGGAAGCTGAGGCTTTCTATTCTAATTGGTTAATTATAATGAGGGTCCTGCGTGTAGGCGGTACTTAATAATCTCTACAATAAATACATTTTATCCCATAATTAACTCATTACTTTGTATTTTAAATGAGAGAACCCTGTTTTGGTGATCTTGTATGTTTATAATATGTGACATATATGTATAACTGATAACATAATATTATAAGTAATAATATATGTAGTAAATAGCTGAGGAAATATTGAATAACGGCGATTTTAGTATAATATAAGTTTTACAACACTAGTAAACAATTTTTGAATTCTTGCGCAATAAAATAATGTCATATAAAAGGAATATGCAGGATAAGCAAATTAATAATGGTGGGAAAAAGAATATATAAAATGAAACATGAAAAGTATGGGAGAATTGACGTTTTGACGAAGAAACGTCGAGTTACGAGTCAGGACGTTTGGTGCGAGTAACTTTGTATTCTGTACGATTTAATTTATTTTGTGTTAAATTTTCATATTACATTTTGACTTTGTGTTTATTACATTCCTTAAATAAAGTAACTATTTAAAAACCTGCACTTAACGTAAATATTTTATATTCACCGTGCTGTTAAAATTGTTTGTGTGTGTGCGGCAAAAGTCGAGGTTGGACTGCTGGTCTTTTAGTTGATCTTAACAATTAGTGTGCGTGTTGGCTAGTTTTTGGGCTTAACCGTTATTTAGTAAGTACAGTAAGCAAAGGTAGTTGTGCTGGTGGCTGACGAGGAGCCATCCTTCAGTCTGCTACTTTTGAGCTAGACCGCGCTGATGGGTCTAAAATCTACCCTTTTAGTAGTTCACTAATTTGAGGGATTGGAACTGACCAGTGTATCCAACGGGAGGACTCGAGAAGAGCTTAAAACGACGAACTTGTCGATAAAATAATATTAATTAATTTGTGTATTACTTTTTATGTCTGCGTCGGGGTACTACCGACATACGAATAATATTACACTAATTCAAACAAAAGTTAATTTCATAAAACTTGAAAATAATAAAATAAGTTATTTTTAATCTAATCAACGTTTAAAACAAATAATAAATAAACATTTGATGACGATGTAGTGTTATTTATATTTATCGTAATTTGTGTAATATAATTGTTATTTGTCAGTTTAATATAATCTCAGTTATTTTAACTTGAGATTATTTAGATAAAACGATCATATCTTGTTGATACATAAAGGATGGTTCTTGATTATTCAAAACAACTTTGAATAATCAAATAATAGTGAATTTATGCATTATTGCTTGACCAATAACGAATTGTACATATGATACTATAGGAGAAAACTAAACTGATTTGCAAGGAACAAACAAAATTCTAATTTACATTTATTCGATTGTTATTAGATTGCTGGACCTAATAATACATTGTTAACGTATTTCGTGACTACACTGATAATGATGGTATAATATGTCGCCAATAGCTTAGTCCACAGTTTTTGGATAACTGTATTCATTTATATCGTTTTGGTCGCGAAACGTGCGATTTTGATAGTCCGACGATTCTATAATAGTTAGGATTAGAAGTGAAACAAAACAAATAAGGTTACTATTTATACACGTAATCGACATGATTAATGAGTTCATTATTCGCATGACTAATAGATACTTGTTCTCTGAGGCATTAAAAAATTTGAATGGTGTGCCTTTTTACTATAGTGCTGCTTCAAGACAAAACCACTAGGGAGTGCACAGGAGCGATCAAAATTTAATTTATTTAATAGTATTTCGTCTATTTGTAATATAGATTTTAAAGAAAAACAAAAATCTTTTAAAACAATAGCCTTAGAAAAGTAAAAATATTGTAACATGCAACTTTTTAATATCAAACGATGACTGTCTGTTACTATTATGATAGGTTGTTTATTTGTAGAAACAAAGTAGGAATAAGAGGGGAATGAAAAATAGGTACATCTGTTTTTAATGCTTATGAAAATATGAACATGTATATTATAGTTCTGCAAAGATCAAAACTTAAAAAATAAAGGGAGAGGGGATAACTTACATACTAACAATAACTAATCTAACAATTTAATAAAATATGACACAATAGAAAATAAAATTGTAAACTTATGTGATGAGAGTTGAGACGACAGCGAAAGTGGTAATGATTGATCGTTTCAATTAAGTAAATATTAATAATAAATGGTTATGTAAGACGCAAGTACACGATGGATTATACAAATGTACAATAGTTTAACGTTTAACTATAACGTTTAAGAGGCTTACACACTAGGCGTATAATCGGATGCGTTCACGTTTTTAAAAACGCGGCGGTTTTAAACGAGAACGCCGTTCATGTGCACACTGCAAGAGTTTTGACGCGTCTTTATTAAAGAAGATTAGCCCGCCAAAAGGTACAGTATAATCACAGCAGTTAAGAAATTCCTCGTGGTAGCATTTGCTCTGATTATTTTTTTATTTTTTAAAGTATTAAATAAGTTACAATGGAAACATTAGATGATATAGAAGTTGCATGCGTTGTATACGCCATGTATCATCACTGTACAAAAAAACAAAAAATAAATAAAAATCAACTGTTTGTAGACATTGGGTTCATCTCCGAAATTTATAAAGACCTCGAGAAGGTTAAATTCCAGTTTATTTTTTAACTTTGAGGAGTTATTCCCAAGATTTTTACTAGTATTTTACCTTACGTCTATACGGTAATTCCTGAAGAAAAAACCCAACCTAACCTAAAAAATAACATAAAAATATTATTATATGATCATTTTTTTTTTGTGGCTGTTACCACTTTTTGTCAACTATCACCGAACCGATTTCTTTCAACGATACGTAAAAAGATCACAAATAGTATCTAGTCGAAGACATTACCCTCAAAAATTGAAAAAATTTCCCTCGTTCCCCGTAAAAGGAGAAATCACTAAAAAAATTACCAATTTAAAAATCGATAATTTTCGACATTTTTTCGTGAAAATAAATTGAATGAGCCTTTTTACGTGCCTGAAAATCGCGGCGTTTAATCGCCCCGTGGCAATGATAACATGCGATTTATATTGTTTAATTTTAGCAATCGGTCGCGTCCGAACGCATGTTTTTTGTCATAGTGTGCATGGTTCAATTTAAATGCGAGTGTTTTATATAAAGCGATTAATCGCCACGTTTTAAAAAACGCGTACGCGTGCGTTTAAACGCCTAGTGTGCAAGCCTTTTTAAAAGTAACGTTTAAAGACTAAAAGGGAACAAAAACTACGAGTGGTTCAATAATCTGACGATTTGCGATTTTTTGAGACACAAGACGTGAGATGCGAGTACATAGAATGATAACGAGTCATAAAAAAACAAAAACGACAGACGCTTGTTGTGAAAGGGACGATAGCCGACGACTCGCGAACACGTCCGAACCGGTCATACAGTATCGCCATGGGAGACGAGAGAGATATCCACGATCAGAAATTGCCACTATTTACTCAACAGATGTTAGTAAAATTGCATAAGTTTCCTTAGAAAGTAGTACTCACCTACGACTAAAGAAACTTCGTGAATGTATAATAAAACCCACAATTTTTTCAATACGGAAACAAGTTTTTTTTATCTTCTTAAACTAAGAAATTTCTACGTTTAATTTTTGTTAACGTTTTGTAAATATGTATTTTGAACTTTAGTAACTGTAAGCAAAATTGAAAAGTTTTTTTTATTATGATCTCAATTTTTAAATTTGACCACATTTTGTAAGTAAAACCTAACATACAATCAAAGATATATTTAATTCATTACCAATAACTGTATTATATCTAATTATAATTTCAATTAAACACCATTTAATAAAAAATTGGTTTTATTAAAATCTTCACGAAAAGTATGTATATTAATCGATAATTAACGATATCTACAATTTATCAACTAATTAAGAGGCACGATAACACATACTGAACAATAATCATCATCCTCAAAAAATCGTCCATAAAACTTTTAAGACTCTATTTATATATTTGAAATTACTCAAATTAAATATTATAGTTGTAGAATTACGGGAAAATTATACCAGTATTATAACTTCCATTCTTTGAAAATATTAAAAAAATAAATAGTACATAACGGAATTTGAAGTAATGATTTTTTAGATTTAAATAATTTTAACAATTATAGTGTTTGATTAAAGAATTTGTAATTTTTTTCATGGTCTAGGTCAATAAACTGAAATAAAAAGTTTCATAAAAGTTTATTGTTTAAAATGGTCTCAAGTGAAAGTTAAATTTAAAAAATTATTCTATATTTTA